ATTCCTGCTTCTCATTCATCTGGCTAATCACTTACTGTTCTGTTGGGTGTAAATTTCCTTTCAAATCCTGGCAGTACTGATTCCTTTCTTTTGCTTGCTACTTAATTACCTTTTTTCCTGAAGCTCCTAGTAGAGCCATGGAGAAAACTTAGACGTGAATGTTGGTTCTGTAAGTTCCAGTCTCAGTACAAATGGTTCTGCTTGTACAATTTGCTTTGCATCAGTTTTGTGATAGGTTGATTCTTTCGCCATGCTGAGTGGCCAGCTGTCCTTATTTAAGGCCAAAGTCATTGGCTAGTCATTGGCTAAACTGTAGTAATAGTTCCAGGAATGTCTGGTTAATATAGATAGTAATGGGCTAGGTAATGACTTTGTAGCTAAACGGCTCTTCCCTTTATTAATGGCTGTGTTTTCTAATTACTTATAGCTCACGTTGACGCCAGCCCAGCAACAGTTATTACTACAACAGGCGCAGGCACAGTTGCTGGCTGCAGCAGTGCAGCATTCAGCCAGTCAGCAGCACAGCGCTGCAGGTGCCACCATCTCGGCCTCTGCTGCAACGCCGATGACGCAGATCCCTCTATCTCAGCCAATACAGATTGCACAGGTGAGCCCTGAGGCTTGAGAGGGCGGAAAATGAAGAAGTTTAACTAATTGCATCATTCAAGTAACTTACTGTTTTTCTTCCATGCTCAGTAAGCTTCTAGAATCCTTGAGCACTGTCAGTGTTTCGGCACTTGTCCTGAGCAGCAGGTTGGTAGGTATAGCAAAGAATGCATACCGGCTGCTCATCAGTTACACTGGCCTTCCGAATTTGTTCCAGAATCTGACCAGATGCTGTATTCTCAGAATTTCCCTCCCTATAGATAGCTTAAGAAAGGAGAAAAAGGGGTATAGAAAGATGCCTATAGAAATGACACTTGTTGAGACCTGTATGCATGGGAGAGATACCTGCATATCACAAAGGACACTTGTTTTGACTCGGTGGTTAACACTCAGAATTCAGTGACAAAGAATTGGCGCTCTTGTGCGTCTAGAGAGAATCTTGCCAGAATGAGTCTGGTGTCTGGATCTGTCCGGTTTTATGGTCTGCTGCTAAAGACCTATTAATTCTGAAGAGCTGCTTGCCAAGGAAATTCTGCTTACTAAGAGCAGCAAAGATCCTCATGGATCTTTCAGGATTAGCTTAATTCAGGGTGGAGAAGGTGGGATCGCTGACTACGCTTGGCATATGCAGTGTAGAGACTCCTTAGACCCCTGGAGATGGGTAACCAAATGTATAGCACAGGCTTCTGGAGTGCTATGTGTAGGTGATTGTGTCACCAACACTGAGGTCTGTCTCTCCACAGTTTAAGGTTCTCAATTTGTAATATTTCAGTTTGATTAGTCTAGTTGCAAAGTACTTTGAGTCTTGTAATCACCAAGGTTGTCGCTTCTAATGGTGAGCAGGTTCTTTAACATTGTCTGACACTTTTTATTCAGCCTATTTTCACTTGCATTCAACTGGGATGAAGTGTCAAAGAAGTGAAATGGGGACTGATTAAGTAAAAGAATGGAAATGCTACAATTATCTGTGAAGCCCACTGGCAAAATGTGCTATTCCTTTATTATGCTAGTCCACTTATGGAACAATAGCCTGGTTCTGCTATCAGTTATTTTGTTAGCTGAAGTGGCAAAGCTTGGTCTAAAAGTTCTGACCTGGCTGGCTGTCCTTGCAGGAGGCAGCGTGATACCGCACCAAAAGCCTACATTGAAAGGACAGTATTAATGTTGCCTATACAGCCCTAGCACTGAGCCTCTTGTGCACTGTGAGTCATGTGACCAGGTACTTTCTCTCCTTTTAGCAAAGGATCCCAATTCACTGTCATGATCTGGAGATGAGTCAACGATATTATATTCAAGGAAACTCTTAACTCTCAAGACCATCTCTTCTTTTTTTTTTTTTTTTTTAAACCTTAGTCTATAGCCAATAAGATGGGTGGATTTCAAGAAAAGAAGGGGAAATGTTCTGGTCAAGGAAGTTGATGGTTAGCTTCTAAAATCTCACCATGTCTCTGTTGCAGAGTTCTCATTTGATAGTATGCAAGTCACTTCATCTGAACTTAAGTGGTTCGCTGTTGTGTGCCTCTTGTCTTTCAGGTGCCCAGCTTAAGATAGTGAGGTTTGTTTTACTGAAGTGCTGAATGTTAAAATTTTATATTAATAGCTGTACCTTGAATTTACCAGCCTTACATTTGTCAAATATGGCACCAAAATTAGTGGATGCTTTTGAATACGTTTTTTGCAGCTGTCAGATGTTAGTAATCCTAGTGTTTCACTCTAGTGGGGTGCTGTGAAAATTTGTGTGAAGCATTTACAATTACTAATTTACTACTAGGTTTGTCTGTGTTACTTATAAAATCTTCAGAGAAGGATTTGTGTAGCATTGAAGATAAAGGATATGCCATCAAATTAGGAGCTTCTGAAGTGAGCAGTGTCTGTTTGCGTGCTTCAATGAGCTAAATGCTTCTATGGAAAAATACCATGTGATCAGGTTGTTGCCAGTACATGTTGTGCCTTTGTAGGGCAAGGGGAACAAATTAAGGTTTCACTCACGTTCTGAGTTTCCTAACTTCTTGATGTTTTTTTTTGACTTTGCAATTAATTTCTTCCAGTATAGGCTATTTGATATGTATGCGTAGCTTCATTGAATTCTGTTAACTGCATCTTATGATGAAAACACGGAGAGTAATTTATCTGGATGTTGGATATAGCTGGAAGGTGTTTTATGGAAAACTTCTACCATCTAGTTTTGTAGACGATAACACCATGCTTTTTGATCCATCTTGACACTGATTTATAAACAGTGCTCAGCTTTGCTTGTTTGTGTGCTATTGTAAACACACAGCTGATTACACAAATAGCTGAATGTTTGTTTTAATTGATGATTCCTGAATAATTGATTAAGTGGCAGGTCTCTGCAGCAGGGGGATTACCATATTTATTTTAATTAACTAATTGTACAAGCATGACTTCTTTAATGTGCCCTGCAGTTAATGTAGGGTATCTGCTGCGGAAATGTGTTAAGATGTTAGTGCCTCTACTGAGTTGGTGCTGAATTGTCACTAACAGTTGCACCAAGTTTTGGAGTTCTGTGCAACCTTCTCTTGCTTGTTTTTAGGATCTGTCATCAATGTTATATGATGTAAACCTCAAAATGGCAGAGATGCTTCAAATTTGCACTGATAGTTGTAACTAGAGATAATGGCATTGTGAACTCATCTGAAGTTCTGAATTCAAAAAAACAAACAAAAAAACCCCATCTCCTTCCTGTTAGGATGCTACACTCTTCTTATTGTCAAGGTAGACCTATTGCCAAGGTAGAAGTTGGATTGCTTTCATCTTTCTAAACCGTTAGGAAGCGCTAGGAAACGTTATTTTGGACAGCGTTGTTTTGGCTGGTATGATGCATGTTTCCCCCAAAGTTCTCTCCATCTCTTTCTATGTGCTTGTGCCAGTATTTGGATTTTTACTATGGAGAAAAACAGGATCAGCATAGGAAAAACAAGTCAGAGGCTGTTTTCATGGTTGCTGTTCAGAGATTTATTGTAGTGCTACAATTAACTACATAATAAGGCTTTCCCAAGGTAGAGATAAAGTTGGTTCTCAAATGAATTTGAGGGGCTGATAGGAGTCTTAAAGAGTAATTAGCCTTGGAGGTATCATTTCCATTTGGCATTAGAGTTATATTTCTGTATTTGGATGAGGCTTGGCCAAGATATCATTTGCAAAGGCAGATGTAGAAAATTAGATTGCTTGTGTACCGATTTAAAAACAGCTTTCTCATACTGAAGTGCAAGATTGTGGCAACAATAGCTGCCATGTCTTAGTTGAGTACCCTGCCTTATGAATACTAAACAAACAAACTCTCCTCCTTTGGTCCTCAAAAACAACAGTCATCTGCCCTATCCTGTTTCTTTGTACTCTCTTGTACGTGACTCCATCTGCTGCAGTCCTTCCCCTGTCATGTGAGATCTTCTGGTCTGCTGGGGGCTTTTAATTTGCTTAGCTTTTGGTAGGGGAGGCCCTCACTCCATTTATTCTTTTGTCCATCCTTTTTTTTTTTCTTCAGAAATCTTTTGCTAACTCTCCCTTTTGGGGTTCTGCCTTTTTTGTCCTTTCCACCTGTATTTTCATTCTTCAGTCTCTCTCCATTTTAATTTCTTCCACCTAGTGTTCTCAGCCCTAGTCACTGTCCCCTACTCTTTTTTTCCCTCACAGCATCTAGCCCTCACAGCCAATTCGTTATGAGCTGCCTTGTGATAGGGGTCCACTCAGTCTGTGACAATATAGCATTAAATGTCAATGAATAAATGAGTGGAGGTCTCTGTCACATTGGTGGGCTCAGGACATAAGATTATTTTTACTAGCAGCGTTGGCCAATATAACGTTTTTACATGAAGTCAGAACAAACGTGGAACTCCTGGAAACAAGTGGAGCAAGCATATCTCTTGTTTTGGGAAGGAAACTGGCCTAGGCTTGGTAGGAATGGTTGCAGTACTTCTAGAATTTTCTGAAAGCAAATGATAATATCAATTTTTAAAACACTCTTTTGCACTGGGGGGCATTTTGGGGTATTTTGCTGTTGTTCTAAAATGAAAGTTTCCATTTCTAAAATGCTTGGTCAATGCCATCTGGTGTCTGTCTACCATGTTGTTGCACTGCAAGCTTTTGACTTAACATGTCCAAGTTGACAAAATGATTGATGGCCAGTGCCTCTGTATTGCAGGTTAAGTGTTAATTTTCTTATAATGTATGTCTATGTTTTCATAAATCAACAAACTTATTTCTCTTCCCTTGTCCTCCCCTGGCACCACTGCTCCTCCCAGAAAAATACTGTTGATGCAACTGTTAGGTTGTACTTTTAACAATTTTAAAATAATGTAAGAGCATAGACAGATTTATTCTGAGAACGGCTGCATTGCTTACATAAAACGTTATCCTTGTCAGTCTGCCTTGACTATTCATCGCTCTCTCCACTGCTGGCAGTTAATGGCCTTTCACATCTGCTGGCCAAGCAGCTTGTGTTGAGTGCTCACTAACTGCATCAGTCAAAATGAGTGGGGGTTAGTTTACAGGCCTTAAGCAGCAAGTCTTTGTTAATCTGATTCACTTTAATTGAAATATGTTAGGAAGTATGGTAACGTGAGAGCAGCTCCGTTCAAGCAGTCAGCCTGAGTGCTGGCCGAGGAGCGGGCTGGCATTGTTAACGTCGTCTTCTGACACAATTGAACCCAAAAGAGAATGTCTGTCTGTAAACAGTCCTTCATGCCTCAGAGAGGAAAGAAAGAAGGTTTTGTGGAGGTTTTCTGGTTTTTCTGTTTGTTTATTTTTGATTAACGGGAGGTTGTAACTGTGGGAAATGCTTTGAGTTTTAGCCACCTGCTTAAGGGCAGGTACTTTGCAATGCTGTCTTCTCAGAAAGGTTCTACGCATGCGTATACACAGTTTTCATAGATTAGCACTGGTAAGTTGTCTGGCTTTACACTGTGCTTCAGTTTTCAAATTTCAGTTCCTCTTGTTATTGCCCTGTTGGGAGAAGAGAGGAAAAAAGAAAGGCTCGGTTTTGAGGAATTTTCTAAATCAATTCTTTGTGTTTTCATTCTCCAACTAAGCAGCAAGTCAAAGTGTTTTTCATGGTGATTCAGTTTCTCAAAGATTAGCATTTGTGTAGAGACCAGTCATTTCATTATAGAAAATTACTAGTTGTGAATGGTTTAAGTAGGTAAAAGTAGGACACTTACAATAACTGTTTGGTGTTTTTTTCTTTTAGCCTTAATTAGAGCCACATTTACTATGCTTATTGTAATTGCTTCAAAAGTATTGAAATATGTTTTGTTTACCTTTTGAATTAACTGCTTCCCAAAATTTGACCTGAACAACCAGAGTGCAAAAAACTAGGAATGCACTTGATTTATCAACAATGGATTTCTGTAGCACAGTGGCATCCTCAAATAGTAAGTTGGAGAAATGCAAGTGCTAATAAGCCTAAAGCATTTGACAACTTCTGTGGGTAGTAGTGTGGAGGTGGGGTTTTTTGTTTGTGGGGTGGGGTGGGGGGAGGATGTGTTAGTAGTTGAGGGTTTGTTTGTTTTTAGAAGAAATACTTGGCTGGCGTATTTGGTAAGGAATGCCTGTTTGGTTTGATGAACAACAGTGAAATTCTTATTACCGGCATATATTCAGTAGCAGGACTGCTGTGTTTGAGATCCGCTTTTGTCTCTAAATGCTAAAATGCAGCTCCTTGATGGGAAATCTAGTTATTAGGAATCATGGCTGAGTTAAATGTCTAACACATGCACTTATTATCCTTTTCCCCTTAAGGATTTGCAGCACTTGCAGCAGCTTCAGCAGCAGAATCTCAACCTGCAACAGTTTGTGTTGGTGCATCCAACGACCAACTTGCAGCCAGCACAGTTCATCATCTCACAAACACCGCAGGGACAACAGGGTAAGTGTACTTTGCCAGAAGGGGGCAGGGGGGAAAAAGTCAGACATAGCTATTTAGAGGAAAAGGTGGAGCTGAGGTGGTTCTTGTGCCTTCTCTAAATGTTGATATTCCACAGGAGAAGTAGCAGTGTTGCAATTAGGGAACTTTAACAGGTGAGGCTGGCCCTTTCTGGGTGTTAGACCTCGGCATTGTCAAAGTGTGTGTGTGGCTCACTCCTCAAGGAGGGTCAGTCCAGAGATCATGTGGTGGGAGTGCTTATTAGCAGAAAGGCATCTGGGGAAGTGCTGCAACAACCAAATTTCTGGGCCAGACTCTCTGGACGTAAGTCTGCCAAGAAGAGCTTGGAGAAGACAACTCTCCAGAACTCGTAAGCCAAGTCCCAGGAGGTGGAGACTGGGAGGGAGTGTGGGTCTTCTGACCTAGGTCCATGCTAAAAGGGCTATAAAATTCTAAGACTAGAAGAAAGATTACAAAATTAGAGCCCCTGTGGGAGACTAGGAAAGTCTGTAAGTCTAAAGAGGGTACGGTGAACGTTGTCGTAAATTGCTATTATAATTGCACCTTGGGAGAAGGGCTAGAATGCTTGATTTTGTACACCCCCACTTAGGGAGATTTTTTTGCGGTGCACTGGCTTACATGTTAAAGGTAAATCAAGGCAGTAGAAGGGCATAATGCTAGACCAGTTAAAATTATGTACAGGAGCTTTGCTTTAAGAACTAATGCATTCGAGTTGCAATACTTCACAGTACTGGTTGCACCCCATTTTTTGATGCCCCAGGCAACTGCATTTGGCTATGGCCTCTTATGCTGATACACTCCAAGGGTCTTGTTTTCCCTTCTCTTCTACATAAATTCTCCTCAGTTGTTCAGCTCTGGCAGTTCGAAGGTCGTTGCTGAGAAGGCGTATCCTGTTATGCTTGAGGAGTCCTCCAGAGCCTCGCTGTCCTATAAAGCAGCTCTTTGTACCTCCTTTTCTTTTATAACTTTCGACTTTTGTCTTGCACTGTTCCTTCTTACAGGCTACAGCCTGGATAGAACTGGCTTTCCACTGCGCTACAGTGCTCTCACTATCTTAATGCTCTCCTGCCTGAGTGAAGGGTTGGTCAAAATTAACTGTCTTTAATAGTACTTGATTTAGGAGAGACTTTATACTAGCACTGATAGAGAATGGCTGATGGACTGTTCTTTGAGACTTTTAGTTATGTATGAATCTCTTAAAATGAAGCAGAATTTATAAGGTTTATGTATTTTTGCGGAAGACAACAAACTTCACCAATATTTTATTCAAGAGTCTCAGGATTCTTTAAAGTCTTTTCTATTATTTTTAAGCAAAAAAATTATCACCAGTCAATATTCATGTCTGCCTACAGTTTTTAGAAAATCAGAAGGTCTCTCAAATGTCTCTGAAGTTCATTCACAAGAAAGGAAACTAATTGAAACCGATTTTATTCATTTCTCAGAATGAGTTGTCTGCTATGTAGAAAGGAATAGAATTGGGAAGGAAGGGTTTGTTTTAAAATCTGAAGTCGAATAACTGCCAGAAGATGTTTTCATAGTACCTTTTTCAGGAGCTGCTCTGAAAATGATTTCTTGACTGCAGTTTAGTCTTGACTGCATATTGCTGTCATCGGTGACACGGTGTATGTGAAAACACCATGTTTTACTGGCAGTGTGCAGTCTGGACAATTAAATAGCTCAAAAATGCAGAAAGATTTATATTCTGTATTCTGACAATCAGCCATTAGTGTGTGACAACCTTCCAAACTGAAATGCTTGAATAGATCTAATTTTCTTCATGAGCGCTCAATGATAAAGCAACATGTATGTCATAATACTCCTTATCTCACTTTCTGGTATGACTTTCTGCAGTATTTCATGGTTATTATTAGAAGATCTTAAACAGTATGCTATCAATTATGAGAGAGAGAGCGTATGTTTTTCCTTTGTCATTGCTGTTCAGCTGAATTTTCTGTGTTGTTGTTGTCCTATTGCTCCACTAGTCAACTTCATAAAGTAGAAAACATTCTGAAGAAACTTACATTGAGCTTTCTTTAAAACTAAAGACATTCAACCTCTGGATGCCTCATCAGTACCGCGTACAGCTTTATATATAGGAACTCTCTTAGTAATTAAATGAAAAAATGGATTTATTTATATACTACCTATACTTAAAGAAATTGCTTTATAGGGTGCACTACATATTTTGTATACATCACTTAGTCATATACATGAGGAACACTATTCTCTTATGTCAAAAACAAGTGTAGGGGGAAATAGGAGCAAAGAATAATTTCTCTAAGGAAGATCATAGAAGACATGCTTGTACCTGGGAAGGTGATGGAGGGTAGAGCATTGCAATTATCAGCAACCACATTTAGATTCTTGGAAGGGGCTGAACCTCTTCATAAGATCCAACTTTTGAAAAATTTTAGAAAAAATCAATAACTAAAATATCAGTCAATGGTCAGGTTTCTGTTCTGGTATCTTTCTTCAGCATATACTGTTGATCACAGCGGATGTGAAATTCTCTCCATAAATTCACTGTCGTATGTCTAATGTAATCATCTTCTCCACCATCTTCTGGTTACTCAGTGGCTTACATGAAACAAATCATGAGGTTTCTGTTTTTCATGGCTCATAATAGGTAACAACATAACTGATGCAATTATTTCAAGCCTCAGCAGACAAACAGAAGATTGAATGGAAATAGAAATCTGTAATACTTTCTTGTTCACAGCAGTTACTGCCCCCATATAATATTTAAAGTCTCAGGCAAGAGGGTAGCACCTTATACTGTCTTTGTATCTCCTGTATGTGTTCTGTGAAGTAAGAGATCTGTCTCTAGTATCATCAGTGCAACATCCTTCACTGTACCTATAGATATGTTTGTTTTTCTTTTTTGAGTTACACTTATCAGATGACCTGTTGTCTTTTTACTCTGAAGATATTGCTAATAAAAAAAATGCCGATAAAAGTCTGAATGGAGAAGAAAAATAGTGCTACATTTCATTTAAATTAATCCTGTAAACAAATGTTGTTAATATGAGAGGAAAAAATTGTATCACGGTAAAGAGAGAGAGCTGGTTTAGAAGCAGAACTTACTGTGGTTATAAAGCATGACCTGTGTATTCAGAAAGGCAAATGTGGAAGACAAGCTACTGATTAGCTTGTCTCAAAGTATTGCTGTTTATAATTAAAGGTCTTGTTTATGATTTCATTTTCTCATGTAAAAATACCTGTGATGATAGCAGATCCAATCAAATCCTGTTCTCTTCTTGGAAGCCTTTTAGTTGTACTATAGACTTTGAGACTTCACTTGTATCACTCAAACAAACAAACAAACAAAAACAAGCCAACAAGAAAAAAACACTTCAAAATGAATAGAGAAAGTTTTTGGCTTCACCCAGTGTGAGGATGAAGGAAGATGCATGAAGTTGCCTCCATTTCTTCTCAGATGCATTAAATTTATAATGGACAATGTACCTGTACTGCCATAACACAACTCCTGATTTTATTAGTAGTGCTGCATCCAGCAGCAGAAAGTGAATAATATCTACAGGCGCTGGTGCCCTCAGTATGCAGATGAGGAGACCCAGCTCTTCATTCTCAAGGGGCTCTTAATGACAACATCTTTGCTGACAGAGCAGTTGAATAAAATGTAGCTGAGTCAAACTCATTTCCCAAATAAGATGGGATAGCTTAAAATGGAACGAGGGAGCATTTAGAAGAAGAGCTATAAATGGTGACTCTTCCCCTGTCCTGCAAATGCCTGTTACCAAGCTATGAATTAAGTGCTTAACGTTTAGTGTTCTCTTGGAAATCAAGTCTTTGCTTCTAAGCACCCATACAGTATCAGTGTGAAAGCGTTGACTTCCATCACAGTAGTACAGCTACATATTTATATGGATCATTGATTAGGTACTCTGTAAAAGTGCAGTTCACAAACTTCAGCATGTTTGCATCGTGTCCTTGAACTGATCTTGGAGGGTACCTGCATAGTGCAAAAGGTGGGACAGCCTGCAGCAGTTTAGTGTCTTAGCGGAACGTATTTGTAGGAACGCATCAAATTAGTACGTCTCTCCTTTCTTGACTGCCAATCTAATTCCAGCTCTGAACCTCCATTTTGGAAGATCTGGATTAGATAAAATGACGTACACCAAAAGCGCTCAGTGGTTTCTTTGCATCAGCAGAGATCACCAAAGTTGATCAAATGACAGTGTGTGTAGTGTATGGTATGATACTCTTCCTGCTTCCCTCTCCTCCTCAGTATTTTGCAGTTAATCAGATTGCGACATTGTAGTGGTTCTGCCTTGGAAGCGAACTTCCTGGATATGACCAGGAGAAGATGAACAGCTTTGGCAGAGAAAAAGCAGTCAAGTTCTTTTTAGATGAAAAATGTCACTCTTTTGGGAGATCAGTTAGGGATGAATTATGTATTGTGCTTCTGGGCCAACTTTTAAAAAGTTATGCTGAAAAAAATCTACACTTGAATGCTTATTTTATCTTTTTTTTTTAATTTTAGACAGTAACAGCTGAATCCCCAGATGATTTCTTGGGGACTGCTGGCTGGTAGGGAGAGTTTTTGCCTTGGGCCATTAATTCATACTAGGCTTAGATGTTGCAAGAAAAGTCCTGGGCTATGGTAGGTGTATTTACTTTAACTATTAAAAAATATTAAATACCTCTAAAACATTGCATTTTTCTTGCATAAATTCTTATCTGCCGCAGCACTGGTGACACCGTTCTTCTGGAGCTTTGTATAGGTGAATCAATTTGCTGTTATTACTATAGGGGCAGTAATATCACTGGGCTCTTAGTACCCAAAGCAGCAGGTCAGAAATACTATCTCTGTAAAGTTAAGTTTGCAAGTACAATGTTAATTTTTATAGAATCCAAGAATCAGGTAGGGTGGAAGGGACTTCTAGAGGTTTATAATAGCCTTCCTCAAGGCACGTCCAATTACAGCAGTATGCTCGGCCAGTCATATTTTGAGCATCTCTTAAGGATGGAGACTCTGCAGCCTGTCTGTGTATCTGTTCCAATATTTGATGACCCTCATGGTAAACAATTTGTTTCCATATATCTAGTTGGAGTTTTCCGTGTTCCAGCCTAAGTCTGTTGCCTGTAATTGCTGCACCCTTTCAATAAGAGTCCATCTCTGTCATCTTTACACTCTCTCATCAGGCGGTTGAAGACAGCACTAATATTTCTGCTTAACCTTCTCTTTTTAAGGCAGAACAAACCCAGCCCTCTTACCCTTTCCTTCTATATGTGTATGCCAGCCCGCTGGCTATCTTGGTGGGCTTTCACCGTACTTATTCAAGGATGTCAATGTGTGTCTTGTACTGTGAGGCCTAAGGCTGATCTCAGATGTGACAAATAGTGGGGAGGGGTCACTTCTCCCAACCTGCTGGGCTGCGTTCTTGCTTATGCAGCCCAAGATGGGTTCGGCCTTCTTCACTGTAAGAGCGTGCTGCTGACTGATGTGCAACTTGTCCTTCAGGACTGCCAGGTCCTCTTCTGCAAAGCTGCCTTCTAGTTAGCCAGTGCCCAGCCTCTACAGCTGCATGGGGCTTATTCCAGCCCAGGTGCCACACTGCGTTCTCCCTCATTGATCTTCATGAGGTTTCCTTTTTTGCAGCCTGTCTAGGCTCTGACCTCCAGTCTGTTGACTGCTTCCCTCCCATTTGGTATTGTCTGCAAACTTGCTGAGAGGATGTTCTGTCCCATCATCCATAACGCAAATAAAGAAGTTAAATGGTACTGCCACCAGTGTCAGTCCCTGATGAACCAGGAAAGTTTGAATCACTCATAGCAGTTACCTAAAAGGTGTGGTTTTGGACTTCCATTATGTTTAAAAGGCTGTGCTACTTGCCCTATCACTTGATTCACTGACGTTATCCTAGACCGAGGTAGGGAGCAGCAGTCTGATCTCAGAAGAACGAAGTTGAAGTTTATACTAGTAAAAGTCATACCCGAGAAGGACAAAACTGCAGCTGCCCACCCAAGGAATTCAGCAACCTCCAAATAGTATATGCCTGACAAGTATCTGAAGAGACCCTTAAATCAAAGGAAAAGGTACGTGCTTTGCCGAAATGTTTCATCTGCTTTCCCCATCCTCTGATATTACTTCAGTCATCTTCGGCTTGAACTTCAGCTAACTTGTTTTTTTCTGCGGTTTCTGCTGGAGAGACCTTGTAACAGCATTTCTGAGATAGGATAAAACGATACAAAAACTGAGTATATGAAACGTGTTCGGAATATTTTACATTATCCTTCTGTGCTAATTACTTCAGAATATCCAGTGAGAACAAAATGAGGAAGAATGTAGTCATCTCATGTACTTAAGCAGAAACGTTATTGCTAGAAAATCATCCTCTGGGATTTTTTTGAGGACAAGAAGTTACAAAAAGACAGTCCTAATTACTCTGGTTACAGTCGTAAGATAAGTCAGTAAATTGTGATCAATGCTGTTACAGGTGGATTAGAGGTCAGCTGTGGTAACTGTAAGCTTCCTATTTCTTGCCTCATTGTTGGTCAGCCACTCTGTGGCATCACTGTGACAGTTTACACTTTTCTATTTTAGGTTGTTAGAATTCACTGCTACTAAATAAAGGTCAAAAGCTCTTCGCTTAGAGGTGACTATTCAGTTATTAGTTATTACCTTGGGGCACCTGCAGTCGTCTTTCTAGTGAAAAAACATCTGCACTGCAAAAATACCATGCAACTAGTAGTAGGAAGCGCTCTCAGAAGTTCCTTAAGCTGATCCATTCTCTCGCTATGGCTTTTCAAAAACACAGCTGAACTGTGTTGATTATGTGGTGCAAAGCAAATTTATGTAGCTGTTGTCCGTGCTGTACTGTTACTTTGCATAAGTAGCTGGCTTTATCCTGTAGTTCTTAAATATTTTGTTAGCAATACATTTCATTTAAAATACTTATTCGACACTTGTTACTTTTTTTTTTTAATACAATATTAGTGAAGGCCATTCTTTTCTGGTTGTGTATCCCACATCAAGAATATGACTTTGTCCTTCCTACTCCATGCTAATCCCAGTTTTCATGGCTCCTGTGATCTTAATCTTATAAAACATCCAATTTCCCATTTGATAGTCATCATATCCTAAACTCTTGTGTCCCCTGCCTCTGTTCTGGTAAGAAGTAGCTGGTCTTGAGTAGCATGCGCTGATAGATCAGCCTGCTGATGAGCCAGAGTGGACTATGCTGAATTCAAATTGCAGAATTGTTCTTATGTGGATGCTTACTTGTATTCTGTCTGCTGGGTGACCATAGTCGTCTTGCTGGGTTGTAGGAACTTGGAATCTTTAAGACACCTTTCAAATGTAGTTTTAATTAGTTGGGGTCCTAAATTATTATAGGGAAGTTGGTAGTCGTGGTCAGAAGTGACATAAATAATAACCGTAGTAATATGTACAATAAAATTGAGGGAGGAGACTACCTGCAGGCATATCTTTGTCAAGATTCTTGCCCCTTAAAAGTACATGTTGGACTATTAGAAATGCAAAAAGCCCAACAAACTTCTAGTTTTAAAAAAAAATACGTTTCTCAGTTTCTTGAGCAATTTAATGAACCATATGGGTAGTGGATGTTAAAATAATTATTTTTAGAATGACAGCGTATTTTGTAGATGCACAGAATCACTTACTGCCAGAAGTGATATGTTTCTTATTTAACATTTTTGATTTGGAATCTGTATTGGTGGCACGAGTTCCGTTTGTTCTTTAGTGCTGTCATTCTTTTCATGGTAGTGGGATTTTCATATATTCATTGTAATCCTGTTTGTGCAATTTAAACAGTGTTCAGCACTTATCTAAGATTTAAGATCTAATTATTCTTTCAAAAGATTCCTTCTTTATTTCAGGCAGGAGGAGGAGGTTATCTAGGCTTCTTCTGTCTCCTGGTGTGGTCTACTTAAGTTTGCTGGAGAAAGTTGCCTTCAATGGTAAAACAGTTGTACAGTCAACAGTTGTAAAGCAGCTAGCAGGAGGTGACGTGGAAAGGAAGAAGGGTGAACAACGAGCCACGTTTGTGGGTTTGGTTAGCATTCCATTGTCGCAGACCTGTTCGCTTCCGTATAGCTCCCTAGTTTTTGGTCAGCTGTTGGTTACTGGAAAAAGCATACCCAAAGTCTGTAAGCTGAAAAGGGAAATAAGTGATTCCTGTGCACAAAACTGGGATGACCTGGATCATTACAAACTGTTTCTTCAGAGAGTGGTACAGGCTTTTCTCTTTCACCTTTCTGTCACCCTTTATGCTTCAGGAAAATGCAAGGGAATTTTGGACTGAAAGTCCAAAGCCTGGAGATGTCTCTGCAGGGATAAAATAAAGGCTTGCCTCTCAAACGTCTTGTAACTTCGTTATTTGGCAGGAGCCTTCTTTCACCTCATTTCGTGTTTTAGTCGTCTTAAATGACAAACTAAAAACCCTCTCTTCTCTTTCCAGGTCTCCTGCAAGCGCAGAATCTCTTAACGCAACTACCTCAGCAAAGCCAAGCCAACCTCCTGCAGTCTCAGCCAAGCATCACCCTTGCCTCGCAGGTCAGGCTTATTTCTACAGTTTATTAGTTGCTTTGGGGGGATTTGCATTACTGTAAGTGAAGGCACCCTTTGTGTTAGTCACAGGAATGGATATTTTAGCTATGTTAATGAGTTTGTCTTTTTAGACAGATTCAGTGTAGAACTGAAATAACAGAAACTTTCAGTTTTGTAAATTTCCATTCTAAGGTGCCTTAGCTTTATAAACTTTATTTTTAGCTGAATATTTTCATGCTTGATCTTCTGAGTTAATGGGGCTAGAGGAGCGTTTGCTTTCTTGTAAGGTTTTCTTGGGCAATCTATAAACTTGTGAAATTCAGAGGACCAAAAAGTTCAGAAGAGCATTGCTGACTAGTTGGGTGGTTTATTGTTTCAGGGGAATGGGAGAGTTAGATTGCAGTGGAAATTTGTCTCTATTCTATTATTTTGATATTTTGCTAAGTCATTGCCAGTCTTAGTTACCTTCTGTGAGAGCGAGGAGATTGTTAGAAATGCACTAAAATGTTCTATTAGAAACACCTTAAAATATTAAAGCTCTATTATTAAGCTTTCAGACTGTAAGAAAAGCAATTTTAAGGTTGCACGTGCCTGCAAATTTAATTTTACTTTGCTCTGTGTTTTACTGCGTGGTTTAGTTACATGACTGCTCGCTGTTTCTCAAATACCATGTAGTATCTTCCTGCCAACTTGGTTGCATGTAAGAAATTTTTAGTCTGTAATATGAAGCCTGAGTCTATCAATCTTAGAAAACTACGTTTTCTCTTATACCACATACAGTATTTTTAATGCACCATGTGGAAAATGGAATTTGTCCCATCTCTGTAGTTCATACCTCAGGTAGCAGCAGGACTCCTTACTAAAGGTTATATTTGGATTAAAAAAATGTATTAAAACCACAAAAAGGAAATATATAAAGGGGGTGAAGTCAGTAAAGACATATTGCAGTAATTGCCAACTGTGTTTAATGTACATTTTAAAATATTAAAAACCTTTATAGTGTGACATATATATTTGCAATCCTAGAAGGATCATATACGATCACATTATTTCTCAAATAATGGAGTTATAGATCCTGACCTCCCTTTACCATCTGCTGTGCTCTGCAAAATACTGCTGTGCTAAGCCAGGAGAAAACTCACTTAAGGAGCAATGTAAAGACTCAGCTATGTATGGGACGTTTGTTTTCGAACAGCTGTTTGTGTACCCTTGCAAGCTACTGTAGCGTTGCGTAGACTTGAGGCTGTTCTTATTTGTGCTGAAGGAGTGTGTAGCTTCAGAACTGGGCATAGGATGTAAAAACATGAAGTCACCTTTGCTTAGGCCCTTCAGCTAAACTGATAGAATTTAGCTAGAGCAAAAGATTTGTCTCTGCATCTCAATTCATGTATTGCACCTAATTCAAAACACGTTTCTCACGTTCCCATTGTACATAAAACCTGAACTGGTTAATGCCAGATCTTAATATATTTTGTTCACCTGTGGATATTTTTCATGATGCTCAGATTTTTTCAGATTCTTATTGCTGCTGCAGAGCAAAATGTTCAGGAATAATGAGCCTTGTGCTGATTTCCTTGAAAATTAGCCATTTATGTAGCCGGGGGGGAGGGGGGGAAGGACCTGAAGGGAATAATTTTCTGCAGTTTGCCTTTGCTTAATTTCTCATATCATGATTACAGTCGCCCTTCCTGTTGCAAGTATCTATAGAGTTAGAGAGTGATCTATTTTTCTCTTTGGAAGAGTTGAGTCAGTCACGAGAGGTAGCATTAGGGGAAACTTGCCGTGTTTGCTGCCTCTGTACGTGCTTGCTGTTCCAAGATTAAATATGAAACTTGAATTTTTCGGGCTGATGATGATCTGCCAGCTCATGCAAGCAGTAAATTCCATTTTAGAATGTTTAAAAGGGAATGAAGGCCAAGCTATCTATAAAAATGATAGAATTATACCAAATAGGAATGTTCAGCCTTTCTTTGAGCGGCCTCTGCAGCAAGTGCAAGTCATTGGTAACCTGCTGCACAGAACATCTCTTACTTTTCTTTAATTGGTTCTGACAGAGCCTTTAAAAGGCTGTCATACTAATACAGTTTTCTGCATTGTGATAGCTCGCTCTTGAGAGAAACGTAAATAAATCAGAGGAATGTTCAGATTGCAGGAAGTGTTGAATTCATTAATCTTTCTCACAGAAGCCTCATATGCCTTTTCTAAGTTTTATTTTTGCTGATTATTCTTTTAAGTCTGATTTTTTTCATCTTTTCCTTGGTCTTTATCTCAATAGCCAGCAACCCCAACACGCACAATAGCAGCGACCCCCATTCAGCCACTTCCACAGAGCCAGTCAACACCAAAGCGAATCGACACTCCCAGCTTGGAGGAGCCCAGTGACCTTGAGGAGCTTGAGCAGTTTGCCAAGACTTTCAAACAAAGACGGATCAAACTTGGATTCACTCAGGTGAGACTAAGTACCTTAGCGCCTGCCAGCGTGGAATCAGAGGCCTTATCTTTCAAGTCTAGAGGGAGACTCCAATTCTGTCTTTTCCTAGGAATACCTTCTGAAATAGGGTTATGCTCTGGCCTTTATGTAGGGGATTTCTAAGACGTAACAGAAAAGGTCATACATCCGATATCTTACTTCCCTGTTGATTTTAAAGTATAGCCATTTTCCCAGCAGGTACATGCATTTACCAGCTCCAGATGTCATTGCACGTGCACTGTTCATTCTACAGAATTTAAAATGAGTGGGACACAACACTTGAAAGCTGCCTTCAGAATTTTGGAATATTGGTACAATATTCCAAAAATCATGCAGCACAATTACCTGTTTAAAAAGCATGTGACAACTGCGAAGTTGCTTTGGATGTCAAAGGAGTTTTCTCCTTCAACCTATTTTCCTATTAAAAGTCAATGATTTCTTTATTTAATGCTTTTGCTAAGGATGCTAAAAAAAAGCTGAGAGGACTGTCACCTTTGAAGTTTGTTCCTTGCAGAAGCGTCCTGGAGTTGTGGTTTGTTTTCTTTATAAGCTCAGAAGTACCCATAAAGCTGAAGAAAAGTAATCTTGAACATAGCAAAAATGGTTGAATGAGAAGTGCAATTAGAAGTGCAAACTGCAGTTATATGTTCCATTATCCTGTTGAAAGGAGCTGCTGTTGAATCCAAGAACCCTTTCTTAATAATATCAAAATGAAAATTTTTTTTCCTGCAAAATTAAAATAATCTGTCCAGAGAAAGAATTAATTTTGGCAGTAGACTGTGTTAAGCATAAATGTGGTTTGCTAGAAGAAATGGCAAACAGAAATCAAAGCAGATATTTAAGTCTGAGCTCAGAACAGTCAGTCCAACATATGTGATTTTTTTGCTCCTTGGAATAAGTAAACCTACTCTAGCTGAAAGTATGTGCTGAAGTCGGATTTATTTTTCTGGCAAGGTTCTAAGTGCTTGAAAAATCAGGATTCATAATGAAAGTTCCTGGCAGCCTCTTAATTACAACTCCAGAACAAAATGTTCTTAGTAAAATAAAGTGCATTTTGCTGGCATGTGTGCCTCCTTCCCTCCCTCCTTTCCACTAGAGGGAGGTACACAAATGCAACAGTGATAGTCAAGCACAAAAGCTAGAATAGAGCAGAACTGAACAAAGTAAAATATAATAGCTTCCCTATAGCCTGACTGAGGAAGTTCATATAGATCTTTAGTTAATCTGTTTAATCTGCCCTGCTGTGAGATGATTATAACGGAGCAACTAGACTTTTAAAGCTATGTTTAACTCTTCTTTATTGACCTTGTTGTGAATTTTAATGATCAGGAAAAATAAATATGATTGCTCAGGCTTGCATTCAGCATTTAATTTTGAGCTTAGACAAGGAGAATTTTGAGAAAGCAATAAAATGGCATTTGATCAGTCCTTTCTTACTCTGAGCGCATATACGTGTAGTTAGGCAGTTCTAGTAATTTTTACCTCGTTGCATAGTTGGATAATAATTAAAGAACCCTATACTTAGGGATCCTGTAGTTGCATAATTAGACTGCCTTTCAGAGGATAGCAAAAATGTGTTTCCAGTGGTGCCATAAGCTTTTTCAGACCCACCAGATTTATCCAACCCCACCCCTGCCTTTCAAGAATAATTGTAAGATCTAGTTTGCATTGCAAACTAATCTTAACCACCATTCTCTCTTGTAAGTGGTATAACAGACAAGTTTTGAATTTCAGCAGCTCTGTCTTCTCTTCCCATCCCCAAAAGTGTCCAGAGGAGATGGATTTAAGGCCTTTCATTTAACTGTTTTCTGTAAAAATATCACTGTTTGACCTACAGAAACAAAAGGAACATACCGCATCTTAGGGCTACTGCAGGTACATGACTGATTGGACAGTGGAGGTTCAAGCTATATGAAGAAACATTTGAGACTATGTTATTGTTACTCTTGTATAAAATACTATCTATAGTTGTCCTTCTGAACTTCCTAACAGACCTCTGCATACAACTATGGTGTACCTTATGACCAGCTGCATTCATTACCAGAGCTTCATGCAACCTACAGACTAGGTCAGATGCAAATAAGGTGTCTTTATTGTCTGTTCCAGCCATCCTTTCCAATCGCAATGTAGAAATTTCTCACCCCAGTATATAAATTCCTCTGCCTGTGACTTAAGTGTGGCCACCTTTTGACATGGTAAACTATTGACAAAGAAGTGGTTAACTATTCATTGTAAATCACATGGCAAATGTTAGTGAGACCAACATAAATATCAGAAATAAATTTGTTTAGGGGACTGGGACAAATGTCATAACTCTTTCCTGCCAAAGCATAAATCAACTTATCTCTAAAATGGTTTAAATAGCCAGGTTTTCTTTGTCAAAAACCTACTAGAGCATCCATGTTACTTCTCTTAGAATGATTTATGAGTTTTGAAATGTGTAGAATCTAGGGATGTGGGTAGAGGTATAAATGCGAGTTCCACCTGTTTCCTCTTCTGATTGAAAGACTTAGAAACCAATTTCTCTGTTCCTCTTCTAGGAAGGATTTTGTTTTCTTCATGCAACCTGCACAGTTTACTAAGCTTACCAAAGGATTTCTTCTTCCTTGCTTGAATGTGGCCACTCTGCATGCTGTCATGTACTTGTATCAAGCTGTGGTTGTGGGACTGACCTAAAAGGAAAGAAAGCAAGCTTTATGCACAGTCCAACTAACCCACTTGTGATTAAACTCCGCTAACTATGCTCAAGCTCTTCAGTCTCTTCTTCTGGACTTTTCATCACTTTTTTGTATTAAAAAATAAAATTATAAGTTAAACTACTTTAGAGAAAATAGCATACTTTTCAAAGATTGTTCAGTTTTTTCCAAGGACAGGACCTCTGTGTGTTAAAAGAAGACCAGAAAACATTGTGGTGTATTTTAGTGGCCATAATCAAAAACTGATTTATTTTCAAATGGGATTTCCGAGTGATACTTCCTTAGTGTAAAGTACATGGAGGTATGTGTATAGCTATTAGGATAGGCAGAATGTCTGATAGCTAGCTAAAATTTGGAAAAGCAGTAAGAAAGGTAAAGAGATGATCTGTAAATTTCCCAGATAGCTTTCTGGCACATGGGTAATGGTAGTGAAGACTACAGTTAATCATTTTTTGAAATGGTTCAACTTCATGTCTGCTTTGAAAGGACTATCTGTGGGGAGAAGTTGGGTTTGAACCTCAGAAGATACTAGAAGTTCAGATCAGAATATCTTTACATTTATTTAAGTGTGATATATGTTTACAGACAAACTTCATTCATCTTTTCAGCTAATACGAGGGCATGAATACCCTGCATTTCTACTTATTTGAACTTTTCTTCTTTGGTGTGAAATATGTAAATACTTAAATCTGCTCCTAAAAAGAGCTTGGCCCATGATTTTAAAGAACAAAAAAAAAAAATATGCAAGTTGTAGTACTCAGTGTTATGCTTAGTGACAATGCTAAGAAGACAAAGCATAATGGATTTCCTGGAAAGAGTTCCTTGGTTACATTGCATGAGATTTGAAAAGATGACATTTCTTTATGACTATTTGCTTTAGCGTGAATCCTGTTAGCACTGAGCAAGTTTCTGTGAACCTGAAAACCCACTCACACCAATAGAGTCATTAAAAGAGCACAAGAATGTGACAGGATTCCTTGCTTTGGAAGTACCTATGTTAGTGAATCCCTTTTTTCTTTTTCTTTGTCCAGGGTGATGTTGGGCTCGCTATGGGCAAACTCTATGGAAATGACTTCAGCCAAACTACCATCTCTCGCTTTGAAGCCTTGAACCTCAGCTTTAAGAACATGTGCAAGTTAAAGCCACTTCTGGAAAAGTGGCTCAATGATGCAGGTGAATAAGTCTGTATATCTCTTCACCAGCCTACCAAAATCAATAGGATTCTGAAAAACCCTTAACCGCTTCGTTTGTGCCCTTATGGTATTATGAAGCCACCGATTTTTGTAACTTTCCATGGGACAAATAAGGGTGTAGGGATAAGTGTCCATACTTCCCCATTCAGGTGTCCATATGCACCTGAAATAGTTTCAGTGTGAACATTTATAACTGTGTTCTGCAGTCAGCTGAAAATCACTGCATGGGGTGAGGTATAATGTGTGTCATGGTTTTCCTCCTTCATGTGTGTTAATGCATATAACTTCTAATCCACTTCTAGCTTTTTCAGATGCGTAGCTGAGAGACGGTTGCATGGTTTGTTGTTTCAGTAAGCAGAGCTTATTGCATTCATCTCCTCCTACATCCCCTATGTGCATTCTTTTCATCTCTCTCCAAGAGTCCTTGCAAACACTCTCTTTCTCCCCATAGCAAGAGTTAAGTGTGGGTTAGGTTTTGGTTTTTTTCTTCCAGAATTATTTTTTCCTGGGAGATAAGTCATTCATTATACCAATGTTTTAGTACTTTTTTTGCATTAGCAGAAGGAGCTTGGACAATAGTGCTGGGTGCTAGGATAGAAGGTGTTTAAGACTGCTGTCAACCTTTTTTTTTTCTCCTAAGTATACAACTGTACATAGCATAAAGCTGATGAATCTGCTAAACAGATGGCAGGGACAATGTGGGACAGTGTGTGCCTTCCTATTTTTACCAAAAATGAAGAGAGCTCTATACTGATGCCTACAGTGATCCCTGAAATTTTGAAAGCAATTGAATGTAGTGTTGAAACAAGGAAGAGTCATTCTGTTGTGCTGACAAGGGCTATCCTTAGGTAATCTGGATCTGTGATAGCAAATGTCAAGATCTTCTCGCTGAGTGGTCTAATCCACAGGATAGAGGTCCCCTAACCCAACAGCAACGCTGGGCTAGTATACTGCCACAAGGAATGCCATAATTTGCTTTTCCAGCTAAGTTGAAGAAATATTTGTATCAGGAAAATGAAGATAAGGACCATAAACAGCATTAGGGTCCCTCACAGCTTGGAAGCTGTGAACCGTTGTCTTTGAGACTGATTTACTGTCATGAAAATCTTTGGAAGAAAGATTCGTGATGTCTTTTAGTTTCCATTCAACAACTTTTAGGTAAAAGTAGGCAGGAAAGACATACCAGTGACCCTTTTCATTACGTTACACTGCAGTGTTGCAGTACTGTTTACTGTTGTGGAACTTGGCTTGTTCTGTGCAGGGTTTTTGGGATGGAGTGGGGATGCAGCAAGTTTATGGGTGTCATCATTGAAAAATATGTAATCTAGAAAATGATGAATTGAATGTATTTGCCCATGTGAGCCTATGAGAATGTTCCTGAGTACTGTGAACTGTGTGACACCTAATAATCACCCAAAAATGCCCATGCATTGAGGGGTCTGCAGTGTTCTCAGCCATAATTAATCACTTTGTTGCAACCTGGTTGTAACTTCTTCTACACCTTCTTCTAGAAAGTGGATTAAAATGAATCCTCTTTGCTCTTCTGTGGAGCCAAGAAAAATAGGATTAGGGGTTCACAGCTAGAGACCTGCTGCAGCCAAGGAGGAGGAGCTGCAGGCTGTGTAGGTGATTCAGCAGAGCTGCCTAGCATTGAGTATCCACTAGGAATTCTGGAGTGGAGAGGCTGAACATTGTAAAGCTGGCTATAAGCTCCCTCTTCCTCCAGAGCAGGTAAAAGAAATTCCAGGCTGCTCAGAGTTTTTGTAATTGTCTGTGGCTTATGGATATTAGGCACTGCTTTTTTTCTTTTAAACTGTGTTTTGCAGTAAGTGTGTGTGAGGTGGTATGAGGTAAGAATGAAAGAAACATGACAGAAACGATACTGTGGCAGAATTCAGGAGCAGCAAGTGCCCTCTAGGCTTCCTTGTAGCTTTTAAGTTTTGAGTTCCAACTATAACAACGATTAATACATGTGGGCTTCAGAATTTTATGTCTCTCTGGGATAGATACAGAGTGTGTTTTAACATCCCTTGCAGAGGTGAACATTTGCATTAGGCTTCACCGCATTGAAATAAAATCTCCTGATTTATGTTACTTTACTCTTTCAGAAAACCTCTCATCTGATTCAACTCTCTCCAGCCCAAGTGCCCTGAATTCTCCAGGGCTGGGGATTGAAGGCTTGAACCGTAGGAGGAAGAAACGCACCAGCATAGAGACCAACATACGTGTGGCCTTAGAGAAGAGTTTCCTGGAGGTCAGTGGTCCTGTTGCTCTGCTCAACTATAAAGAAATGAAGAAGCTTTGTTTAACATCGTATCTCCTAGAACAAAACTGTTCTATGCTCTTTAGGAAAATGCTTGTACTAAAGAAGGTGAATACAAAGACTATGCTAAGAAGCACACAATCAGTGTCTACCTTATTTGAATAAAAATGACCCCCACCCTCAAACCCTAAAGCCCCCAAAAAGCAACTCATTGGTTCTTGCAGTTTGTCGTCTCTGTGGTTTTGTGTTCCATGTTACTGAGCAATAGGTCAAAGTCTGATATTACGCACGTCAAAAAGGGGGAAAAAAAAGAGTACCCCTTTTGAGGATGGATAAATGGGGTGACAGTCTAAACATACACAACGTGGGGTTCTTAGCTGGCCTTATGTTACTGTTGTCACTTTTTGCAGTTGTGTGTGCAGGTAGCCCCTCTAGGTAGCCCCTTCAACGTACCTATCTTGTGTTACAGATCAGGATGACTTGAGGTTTCTTTGGCCGTCACTGTAGTCAATCTCGTTTCCTCCTCCTCCTTTTCAGGAGATACCGAAAGAAAGATATCCTTATCAAGGTCTAGAATTCCTTGAAGGATTAACTCCGAAGTCAAATCCCTTCTCTCAGAAACAAGCATGTGAGCTCAGTCTTCATCACCCATCTACAATGAACACAGCTTGCTGTTAGTCGTAACTAGGAAAACAGAGGGCAGAATTGCCTGTTATGATCTATCCCTAGTGTACCACTGACCAGATTCTAGGTATAAATTGCCTATCAAGATTTCTGCCTCGCGGAGGTGAAGTCTTTGCTGGCATGAAGGCACATCTGCACTTCCATGTAGGCACAGAGTAGAGTTTTACGTTGGTGGGCCTCATATAAATTATTGAAATTTCTGGTATCTCAAATTTATATGAGAGCTGGTCAAAGTTTTCACCTAAAGGACCTGGTCAACTTAACTGGCTTTCACACGTGGCTGACCAAATGAATCACAGCTCACGTACGGAAGGGTTGTTTCCCTAGGAAACCCTAGAGAGGCGGCCGTCCACATTCAGTAGCATTCATGATGGGAAAGTCTAAGGGAAATTGCAAGAAGGTTTTGCAGAGAAAAAAGGCTTATTCCCTGTCAAGTGAGAGCGTTTGGAGGAGTTTGGAAGGAGACATAATTGGGGAAGATTGTAGGTTTTTCAGTTTAATAATCTTGAAAAATTTCAACCAAATTGACAAAAGGATGCCTTGTCTGTAAAATGCCAGGCATCTTGAAACCTGGAGCTTTACCCAGGAGGAGGAGTGTATCTGGGACGAAAGGACTGTTTGAATGGCCCTTGAAGTCCCTCAGGCTGTCCAACTCCTGCTTCCCTGTGCAATCCTTCTTTTTTGATAAATCAGAAAGGCTCCTTCCAGCCATGCGCTGTAAAGTAAAACTTGAGAAAGTAATTTTGCAGCTTTTCAAGTACCATCTCTTTCTCAGAACCAAAAGCCTACCTCGGAGGAGATCACCATGATAGCTGACCAGCTAAACATGGAGAAGGAGGTGATCCGCGTTTGGTTCTGTAACCGGCGCCAGAAGGAGAAACGAATCAACCCACCCAGCAGTGGTGGAACCAGCAGCTCGCCCATCAAAGCAATTTTCCCTTGCCCCACCTCACTGGTAAGAATCAAGACTTTGTGGTGGCACAGCCGGTAAAGATAGTTGCACTCTGCTCTTTGCAAAGTTGCACATGCTACACCCATCTTTATACAGCAGATTTGTGGTCATAAGTTTTCTCTGGATTGTACTGGCATTTTAAATATCCTACTAGTGTACTCTAAAAGAGATAGTGTTTACAAATTAGACACTAGTTTGGCTTTCGATTGGGATGTTTTATTTAGCCAGCTCTTGAGTAAATATTCCAACTAGCAAATTTGTAGTCAGGGTTATTACTTTGGAAATATGCCAGAGGATCATAACTCCTGTTTATGTCTAGATGGCCTCTCTTGCCCAAATTTTTTTTTTTTAAATGGTAATAATAAAAGAATGCTTAACTACTCTACCCCTTCCATCTTGTTCTTAGCTGCACTGATGCTGATGAGAAGATTATCAGCAGTGAAAATACATTTGGAGTTTGTCACATAAATCCGGTGATACTATTGTTGTCGCTTTTAGCCAGGAATGATTTCTATCAAAAAAGGAATGGAACAAAGGAACAATTTAGCTAATATTCATGTGATTAATTTCCCCAACTTGTATTTGCCTCAGGTAAACACAAACTTCATGAAAATAAGAGTAACAAAACACATGCATCAAGGTTCCTTCAACTCCTTTGCTACCAATGTCCGTGGAGGTCTGTTTTTATAAATAGAAACAAACAGTAGCTATTAGATTTCATAGTAGCTATGCTAATAGCAATGTGGTGGAATTTATGTAGCCTGTAGCTATCCTTTTGTAGTATTTATTCCACCCTCATCACTCTAGTAGCTAATATCTTCCAGTACTTCATTAAATCATTAATTTTGGTGACATGTCATTCTTTTCCCTCATCCTTGTCTCGGGATGTGTGCATGCTAGTTTTTGTTTCAGAGGAAGGGATGTGTTAAATGTACTCAGTCCTTTCGCTTTCTTAAAAAATAAAAAATAAAAAATAAATGACATGCCTTGCTACCAAAGTAGAGCATAGTGAGATATGTGATAGCGTTTAGTTACTGTGCAAGCTTACTCAGACTGCAACTTAAGAAAACTCTCCTGCATAAAAGAACTTTTGTTCTTTTATTATAAACTACTATTGTACATGAGAAATTAAGGTGTTAACCACAAGTCTGCATTCTTTCAATGATGTTTCACTGAATCGTTTTCATTACAAACTTCTCTAAGACTGTGCTGCCACCCAAATGAGTGTTCTAGCCCCTTCACCACCTTCACTGGCTACGTGCTTTGTTGATTCCTTGTATCAGCTCTAGAGATTGTGTATCCATAGGATGATTCGGCGCAGTTTACTCGTGTAACTGAAAGTTAAGCATGCAATGATCACTGATTCCTTTTCGGTATGGCAGGATGACTAATCTGACTCGCACCCTGGCAACACAGGTGCTAGAGCTCTGAGGCAGGGTTGAAGAGGAAGGCTCCTTTGATGGCAGCCCACTGCTGCATTGGCTTGAGTCAGGCCTTGGAACCACATGGTTAACTGCATCAATCCTAGGTCGTTCAGTGCTCTGAAGTATGGTCTGTGACCTTGACCTTAACTATTCTTTGCACAGGTGTGATGTATTCACAGTAAGCTACATTAGTGGGAAGTGTACTATGTATCTAAGTCTTCTTCATTTCGTAGACTATTTGAGGTGTACAGAAAGCTTTTAGATCTGTCCCAGTTGCCCCAGCCTTGTTTAAAATGTATGAAGCAGTTGGCTTCCTGTAAGAGGATAAGCAGCATGAGAGAGATTTCTCTGATAATAAACTTAAGGTAAGAGAGGGGAATGGGAGGAAGGTTTTAGCCGATATTAGCTATGTTCTCTTGGGCAATCCTAAAGGATTCATTTCTCCCATTGATGTTTAACAGTCTTCAAACATTACAGTTGGACACCATTTCTGGTCCAGAAAAAAATTCTTTCTCTGCTCATATTTATTTTTTCCTCATAGGCTAGTTCCTCCAGCCTTAAATCCTTTGGTGTTTTTTTTTCCTGAAACATCTTCAGTTTATTTTAGCTTGTTTTTGTACTAAACTGTCGACAAGAAAATGAGCTAATGTCATATGAATGTTTTTAAATTCAGAGATCCTTCCTCTGGCACAAGAAACTTGTCAAATTTGAGATCATAGTTTGGTTGAGTAGAAGTGAAATAACAATTACTTTTGCCATTTAATCGGAGAAGGAGATCTGGATCTGGAAAGACACTTACACAAGAAAAAGGCATACAGAAATGATGTATATTGTGACTCTTTCTATAAGAGCGACTATGAAGATGTTGACTTCAGCAGGGGGAGAAGTGAGGAGCAATTGCAATTATGAGACAGTGTGGGTGTAATGCATACTCCTCCCTTCAAATATTGAATGATCAAGAAGAGAGATGTTGCTAGCAGTTAGAGAAGGTACTACACTTTGTCCATTGAAGGCTAACCTAATGGAATTATTTAAAAAAAAAAAAAAAGTTAATTTAATGATCATCTTCTCTGATATCTTCAGTTGAGAATGGGGAGAAAAAAATCGAAGTCTAGTAGCTAGCTCTTTTTCTGTTTAACAGTTGAGCAGTTATATGCTGTTCTGACCTCCAGGTGGCAACCACACCAAGCCTTGTGACTAGCAGTGCAGCTACTACCCTGACTGTCAACCCTGTGCTCCCTCTGACCAGTGCTGCTGTAACTAGTCTGTCAGTCACAGGTAAGATACAAGCTACAATAGTGCTTCAGTTTCTTCACAATTCACTTATCCTTAGTTGTCAAGTAAATTACTATGTTAAACAAGTAATAAAAATTTTATGGCGGTCAAGATATTGTAGAATTTCTAATGCCCTTTGTTACAAGTTAAATAAATTTAGGACTCTGTGAGTCCTACTGCCTAAGTTTTATATAAAGTGGGTATTTGGTTTTGCTATATGCTGTGTATAATGAGATGTGAAGACATTTTAGACGGATATCTGTAATCTGTGTGGCTGAAACTAGAAAATAGGGAAGAAAAAATAGGGAAGAATCTTTGAGATATTATGATTGTTGTTTTTGTATGTAGATTCCAAGCATCTCTCTTCTCTTGGCTTTTAAAAAGCCCCTGGGCTGATTTTTCTTACCCCACCTTAACCTCTGCCATTTGACTTTTTAAAGGTTTAAAAGGGGAATTCAGTTTTAGTCACACTAGTATCCCAGTACATCCTTGTCAACTGTTCCTTGTTATTCCACCATGAAACTTTAGTCTCTGTGACAATTCAGCTGACTCTTCTGAGGATAAAATCACAGGTGATGCTGAAGTGAAAGATGCTGCCTTCACTGCTAGGCTTCTAGAGCTCCTCCGCTTCCTGTTGGAGTGTCATTTAATTGCAGCCTGAGAGCCAAACTCAGCAGTCCTTCTCATTTGGACTCATGGTGCTTCTTGGTCCCATAAAAATGTATGTTTGTCTCCCTTTCTGTTGGATGTTCAGTTCAGTTCAGGTGGGTAGTGGTTTCTGTTCAGTCATGTCTGTGTTTCTTACTGGTCTAACCAGAATCAATCTTCTAGGCACAACAGAAACCACCTCCAACAACACAGCAACAGTGATTTCAACAGCACCTCCAGCTTCTTCAGCAGTGACATCACCTTCCCTGAGTCCTTCCCCTTCTGCCTCAGCCTCCACTTCAGAGGCATCCAGTGCCAGTGAGACCAGCACAACACAGACAACCTCCACTCCCTTGTCCTCCCCTCTTGGGACCAGCCAGGTGATGGTAACGGCATCAGGGTTGCAAACAGCGGCAGCAGCCGCGTTACAAGGAGCTGCACAGTTGCCTGCAAATGCAAGTCTTGCTGCCATGGCTGCTGCAGCAGGACTAAACCCAGGCTTGATGGCATCCTCGCAGTTTGCAGCTGGGTAAGGATGAATTTTTCACCCTGTTGCAGGTTCAGTGACAGAGGAGAAGTCTTGGGTAAATTAGCATGGGCTTTTACTTACCACTGTGTCCTAGTAGCTCACTTGGCAATTCTAGCATCTTTTGTTTCAAATTCTGAGGGTTTACTTACGGGTGGAAGGCTTTTCCATTCCCATCAAGGTAAACAAATATTGTTTTCGTTTTACAGATGAGAAAACTGTGGTGCAGCAATGTTGTGATTTGATAAGTCATCCATTCCATTGCAGAGCTTGACTTAAGAGCTGCAACTTACCAGTGAACCATAGAATCAATTGTTCTACTAATAAAAATTGAGAGCTAGCATAGGCTCACTTCACATCTCTGTATTTATTTCACTGTTGATCTCTCCATCATGATCCAGAAGCTGTAAAAGATGCATGACTATGCATTATTGGGGTTTTTATTTTTAAAAATATTGCTCTGAGAGATGACTTATTGTTTATTTAGTTCCTCTTGATTTATGTCTTTCCTGTCGAAATTCAGGATAGCTCTCTAACAAGTGGCAGTTTCCCTGAAATGCATTATAAGAATATTTCACAGCAACGATCAATACCACTCGTGCAGTTTGAGTGCCTGTACTTCAGGCACCTTGCCCAGCCACACAGCTGAAGAACAGCTGTGAAGGGTCTACTTAAGATGTCATGCAGAAGAAATTAAAAGAAGCTAAAACTAGTATCCGGCCCCAATCTCTGATCCTTTATCTATTTAATGTATTTATTTATATGATTGTGTACTTCTGAACAGTGACCACCTTGTAAAGGTAACACTCCTTCTCCATGTCTTTGCTGCTTCTTCCACTATCTTGCTTACTGCAGAGGTGCCTTACTTAGTCTCAATCCAGGGACATTAGGTGGTGCTCTCAGCCCGGCCCTGATGAGCAACAGTACGCTGGCAACTATTCAAGGTCAGTAGCGTTCCTTTTAATGTATCTCTGTCTTCTGCCTTCAGTTTGTGTTCTGTTTTTCTCTACCAAAAAAGAACACTGACTTCTCAGAGCTGGACATAAGCTTTTACAAAATTTAAATGCACAAATGCATTTTATATATCATAGAGTTCAGAGCAAGTACAGCTTTAGAAAGAGGATTAGCACTGTGTGTGATCTCACAGAAATTTACGGGAGGCCTTTAAGGTATGGAATGTGATCTGGCATCAATTTTGTTATTCTCCTTCCAAAGACATAGAAACATATACACCTTCAGCAGGTTAGAGATTTGCTTTTTATAGCTCTGCCAGCATAAGCTTGAGCAGAGTTGCATAGTTTTGAGGACTGTAGCAGGAAAGTTCAGAGTAAGACTCGATCCTGGAGCCTTCTACTCATATATATCTTTTAAAAAAAAAAAAAATCCACACCTCCTAAGGTCCTTATGTAGAACTTTAAATCCATAAATCCATACACAGAGGTCTGAAGATGTACTTTGAAAGTGCCATGCAGCCAAAAGTTTCCACTGACTTTAGCAAGAGTTGTTCCGAGTTCATGGTTTGGCACCTTTGAAAATTAGACAGTGAAAGTGCCTAAACAACTAGCTAACCTTATGTATTCAAATACGGGCACAAATAGCTTAACAAATATTGTTTCCAGGATACATGAAGGAGCCATTTTGGAAAGTGTCACAGATAAATTTAGGAGATTGTAATCTGTGGCAGACTGAACCCTGTAGACTCGTGAGAGTAAATTATGACAATGATTATATGTCAACAGTGAAAATGCTGTGCTCGAGGTTACATTACCTTCTTCATCTTGTGATTCACGTCATGCGAACGCACATTCTGTCCCTTTCCAGTACAGGTTACTTGAGCATACACGTTTTCTAAGGCAGAAAACGTGGACCTCTCGTTACTCTTAAAGTATTGATGGAAAGCATGATGAAGTTAGTTTAGAAGCAGACCGCAGAGTCATTTTCGTATCTGCAGGGTCTTGTCCACTCTTTGGAAAGAGTAGTTTTTTAAAAAAAATGCAGGTACCTATTATGAGGTGACAGATCAGTGGAGGGCATTTTAAAGAGAAAGTTCAGGTGCAAGTCTGTATAGTTTCACCTGTGATGGTAGAGAAAGGTTCATTATGGTTTTTAAGCTTTGAAAATATCCCTGTGATTTTATTCTTGGATAGGATCATTAGAATTTTTTTTAATTGTACAAAAACTGTACCCCCTGTGGGCTTACCAGGTATGTGTTGAGCTTTTGCCAACCACTTGTTTTGGTTAGTATATAGTAGCACTTTATAGGCATCACGTACTGCATAGTTGAATTAATGTCATGCACTTGCATGGTTACTGAGTTGTGCTTGCTTGACAGCATGCAGTTACTGTAGAGCTGAGGTTTTCAAATGTAGTGGCAATCTCTTTGCCAGTGCATAAAGAAAAGAGAGAGTCAGCGTTCTGTATAAAACAGGCATTCCTGTCCACGTTTGCCTATAATTCATTAAAATACTACTTCACAATGGAAGCCCTCTTATGTGACACTGTCTAGCTAATGAAACTGCAGATTCTTTATGAGTAGGGCAGTTTGCTGGAGAAAGCTAGAATTGCACTGCAGAAAAATCTTTCTTTCCTAGTTGTTGAGAAAGTGAAAATACCCTTTCATATCTGTGGCAGCTCTGACTAGCTCCAGATAGCAAATTAAACGGGTTTTTCATCTTTTTATGTGTACTTGAAGTAAGAGGAACTATCATTAGTGGTATAGAAAGCGCTCCCGTGAGAGGACGAAAACACGGAGACCTGTTGCATTTAGGCACATTTTCCCGTTATTCCTTACTGCTAATGTTATCTCCTCCCTACTTAATTTTCCCTTTTTTAGCTCTTGCATCTGGTGGCTCTCTTCCAATAACATCACTGGATGCAACTGGGAACTTGGTGTTTGCCAATGCTGGAGGTACTCCTAACATCGTAACTGCCCCTCTGTTCCTGAACCCTCAGAACCTTTCTCTGCTCACCAGCAACCCAGTTAGCTTGGTCTCTGCAGCTGCAGCCTCCGCAGGGGCCTCTGGACCAGTCGCCAGCCTTCACGCCACCTCCACCTCAGCCGAGTCCATCCAGAACTCTCTCCTCACGGTGGCCTCTGCGAGCGGGGCCACGTCCACCACCACTACTGCCTCCAAGGCACAGTGAGCCGGGCTGAGCTGTGCTGCCAGCAGCCTGTTTCACTGTGCGGTGGGATTGGCTGCCAGCGGGGTTTATAAACTGAAAAATGTGATTGGCATCCTCTCGCCGTGTTGCTGGGGACAAGGGAGAGAAGGAAAAATATAAAAAGCAAAAGCAAAACAGGAAGGATTTAAAGCTGGGACAGACATTTGCCTAATTTTATAATAAACACTGTCTTTTCAGGATCGCTTCATGGATCGGAGAACTTTCTAACCAAAAATGTAAAAAAAACAAAAAACAAAAAAAAAAACCACAAAAAAACCACAAAAAAAGTGAAAGGACTACTTATCATTTCCAGCAGTCACAATGACAAGTTAAGGTGGGTTATCAACTCAAACATAGGAAGGGGATTTCTTGTTTCTTTTTGGTCTAAATATCTTTCTTTTTTAATTATCATTTTATAGGTCTGTTGTACAGGCCATTATGTCATACAAGGTGTTTATAATCGTATCAATCGTGTTGGGGGTTCCTTTCTTAACTGGTACAATTTAGGCAGGCCTGTATTACTGGTGTATCTCTATTATTATTATGATTATTATTATTATTATTATTTTTATATATATAGTTTGGACGCGTTTGTCTTTTGCTCCTGGATTATTTTCAGCGAGCTCCCATGCCATGGGGGGAGGGCGGGAGGGTGGAGAGGAAGAACGGAGCACAAACAGACTTTCTGTCCTCATCTTCTGGGAATGTTCTGAACAGTTTCCTCATCCTTGAATTGTCCGATGGTTGCCTGGAAGGGTCAGAAGAACGCATTTTCATTGCTTGCGCAGGAAGCTCAGCGTAGCAGTAGAGATCGTTGTGTGCAGACTTCCAGGCTGACTTACGCTTTTTAAGCAGTGGTAGGAATTCATTCTGAACTGCAGTTCTCCTTCACGTAGTTAGATTGACTGGCGAAATTCTGCCCTTAGCTTTGTGTGCGTGGTTCCTTTCCACTTAAGAGAGTGGGATCTGACCTCCTGAGTCTAGATTGCGTGACATACTGATGGCTCTTTTGTTCTGTTGATTTGATTTTGCAGTCAAAAACATACACGAATATTTAAAAAAACGTTAGGTTACCCAAGCTGACTGGCAGTAGATAAAACACCGTGGACAGTCCTAGATTCCTGTCAGGTGAATTAGTACAGGATTTCAAAAGTTTGGATTCTCCCTAATCACAGCAATATTCCTTTTCAGTTATTTCTGATGTTTCCAACATTGTAATTGGAGTAACTTTCCACTAAAAAAGTGCTTCTACCTGCAAAACACAGAAGCCCAAACTTTCAGAACAGAAGCTACCATCTTTTATGCCAACGCAATATCGTTGACTCTGGGGTTTTGCACATACCTTGGTGATCTCGTGTAGTCTCTGAGCTGTTATGTCGCTAGCTATGTAAAAACGGCAATAAGCATCTCTGACCATAGAGCTGGAGTTCACCTGCCACTGTAACTGTCTTTTCAAGGTTGATTCTGATCCATGTAGCAAAGAATGTTTACGTGGATGAGGAAGAATAATGGACTGTACGGAAGTTAGATCTGTATATTCTTAAATATACAATCTAGTATCTGAACCAAAAAAAAAGATTTTTTTTTAAAAAGAGAAGACTGGATCACTGCAATGCAGTTCACTTTGAGCTTTCCATTCCTGATGGATTTAAAGGTTTCTGCCATGTGTATAAAACTAAATTACTTCTAGCTAGCAAGGGTATTAGAAGGGTCCCTTTCCCCCCCACCCCACCCCACCTTTTTGTCACCAGAGTGTTCTAAAATAATGAGCTAATGCAGCTCTGTTCATTTTGTTGATGATTCAGGGGGATCTTGGGGCTTCTCGCCCAAGATCCAGAAGGCAGCAACTTTAAACTCTACATATGCTTTGGTTTGTGACCGGAGCATGTGGGATTTGTGTTTGCACTCAAGTGGCAGAATCCCTTATCTCTTTTATTTCCCCTTTACCCATGTTTTTGCTTTGTTCATCTCTAACTCTTCACCTTCCTGTTTTACTGAATACTTAAACCAGTTATCCCTAAAACTTCAAAACTAGTGAACTGCAAGCAGGGAAACTAACAAATGTCCGTCCACCGTTTCTAATGTGTTTTTGGGTTGTTTTTTTTTTATGTTTTATTTTTTTAAAACTAAGCTTGAACCAAAGTCAATTTCTAGCAAGCTGCTGTACTAATGGACTAGTTTGTATAAGTGCAGTTCAGATGCAGAGAGGCGATAGATGCTACTGACAATTTCTTTTTCATTTGTCTTTTGTTTTTATTAATTTTATATAAAAGTTGCTGCTTGTTTTTAATCTTTTTTTTTTTTTGGTTGGTAATTTGTATTATCCTTGGGGCAGACTCTTAACTTGATTTTAATTTGTTTTCTTTTGTTTGATGTGTAAATAGAATGGCAATGTCAGGGGATTATTAAATCCAACAGGTCCCACCCTCATCCCACCAGTATGGATAAATCCAGATATTTTTGATATGCCTGATGTCTCTATGACTTCAGGCTGTGCAGAAGATCTTTAGGGCTATGAATAATACTGCATACATGTAAACTGCCCACAGTTACAGCTTCAGAGCAGTAAAAGGTATATATATAGCTGGGTGAGCTTCAGGGAGGTAGGGAAGAAGTGGAAGAGGAGATGCTGGTACCCACTGTGTTGATCTGAAGGCCGTAGCATGGACTACAGTTTCTACCAAAGGGATACAAGTCCCATAGGACTTGTGTTAGTGAAGTAAGAGGATGGGGAAAACTGCCGCTATAATGTTCATTCTGGAGTCTGAAAATTCCTACTTACTTTCACACCTGTGCATAAATGCAATTTATCAGGAAGCTTTTTGTTAAAGGGGGAATACTACTGGTCTTTTCTCCGATGTATCCTCTACTCCCTAACGGATCTGTGGCAGGGTGGGGGGGCATGACCGTTGCATATCTAGGAAACAACTAAAAAGGTGGGCCTTAAATCAGCATAAAATCCTCTCTCCACAGTTCAAAGAGACTGTGCCATTAGCTGTCTGAATGAATTTTCATGTCCCATTCTTGCTGGTTTGTGGTTGGGAGAGGGTCTTGTTGAGTACATATCTGGAACACTAATGCAGCTTGGATGGTTTATTTATTGTAAAAATCTGCTTTTTTTCCTGACTACCTTTGCATTGGTCACATGGCTTTGGTGTGAGCACCTTATACCCCCTTTCCCTCCTCCTTTCTACCCCATCCACCCTCTCTGGGGCCCAGATTCCAGAGAATTTCTTAGCAAATCTTTTTCGGAGAGAAACTGGAAACTTATAGTAGCCACATATCTGGAAAGGGCTTGATTTTCCTTCGAAAGCCCAAACGGCACACATCCCGTGGGTTCAGTCACCAGTGCTCTTTGTTTCAACCCGTGTGCTGTCCTTTACCGTCCTAAAGCATCCCAATGATTGACCGTAGCTCCTGGAGTCTGCTTTTATCTGCACCAGTGTTTTGGCTTATGGATGCTGGCAGCCTCCAGAGTTCGGGTAGAAGACCGAAATGAGGTTGGCAGCAGGCATTCGTCTGCCTAGGTACAATGCATACGGTATTTCAGAGCATGAAAGGAATATGAGATCAAGTACTAGAATTTAGCAGAAGTTTTCTTTTTTTAAATCGTAATCATGCTGACAGCAGAAATTGAGGCATGTGAAAAGAGACAAAAGCAAATACAGACCTAGTAAATACAGACCTTTGCCTGAATTCTTGAGCGTTTAAGACTGGAGAGTTATTGTCCCAGTGGAGGTCACAAACTTGCCGACAGACCCAGGGTGCTATTTTGTCAGCAAATTTGCTTGTTTCATCCAAAGAGACAAAGTTACCTCTCTGATTCCAGTCTCGGAGGGTTTGTATGTTTGAACAACAGTAATTTTCTATTACACACTCAAAGTCTTAATTGCTTAATATTCCTTTTAGGGGAAGATTTTCTCTGAGAAAGTTCATTTCCAGACAGTTTTCTAGCTGTCCACTAATACATTCACTCCTGTATTGATCATGCTTTGTCAGCCAGGACCAAAAGAAATTTCCTAGCGCGTTAGGAAACGATAATAGCATCTCATTTCAGAGCATCGAGTCTCCTTAGTTACAGATGTGTGGGTTGCATTTCATCGTTGCAAACATGCCAAAGGGCATATGCACAAAAAGAGAAGGCGAGCAACTCTTATTGTTGCCAAGAATGATTTAAAAAACAAAAAAACCAAAAAATTTGTAAAGATACAGGCACAGATATCCCTGAAAGGTCTAGAGAAATGATTTAGGAAATGTCTTCAGGATGAGACATTGTAGGCTGGTCATGAAAATTTTTGTGATATTAGAAAAATTTATTCCTGTTTGGCTTTAGGACAGCTGAACTCCTGAAAGTTCATTCACTTTATAGTCACAAGGATTCATGAACTGATCACAGAAGATGTACTCAGATATGAGTCACAGTTGTCTATGTAAATCTCCTTCAGAGGATTTATTTTGTTTCTGAATTATTGTGCAGTTATATGTTAGTATAAGTACATTTTGTCATGTACCTATGGGATGGTGTGTATGTGCATATGCTCAGAAAATTGTTGCCAAGATAGCATGATTGTTTCGTGCTGAAGTACTTGATTTTAAAGAGATTTTTGTCCAGCCCATAGGCTAGTGTCACTTCAGTTTGCTTTTTTTTTTGTTTTTCTTTGGGTAACTTGTGAAGATGCATCATTGCTGCACTGCTTCTTAAAATCCTCAGCATCAATAAGTAGTTGTTGAAACCCAAGTTAAACTGATTTGAAGAAGTCTCTTTACTGTGATTGGAAATCTGAGCTCTGATGAACCATCAAGGAAAACATGCTCAAAAGTTAGTGGATCTTCATGTAGGAACGTGCTGCTGTTCAGTAATTTTGTTTCAGTGCTAGTGAGGTTATCTTGCAAGTGAAAGCTAAAAGGCCAGACCATTAAAAAGAAGACTTATATTCTGATTTTTTGAATTATAGACCTCTTAGGACATCAGAAGCTGCGAGTCTGAATTTCGTCATGAAATGAACTGGCTGACAAAGAGATTTTCAGTGAAAACAATATAGATTCTGATGTATTTGGAGTTACAGCTTGTGATTTGTTGCACCTTTTAGGTTAGTAAGGGGGCGCCAGTGTTGAGCAGAAGTAGCTCAATGCAGAAGCATCTGCTGATCTTGTCGCACAAGAACAGATGCTCTTTCTAGTAGGATAGCTTTTCAGCTAGACAAGAGCAATCCATTGCCTCTACTGTTACCCCTTTTCTTATTTTA